TTAAATCAATAAATCTTCAAAACTACTGAACTGAAGCTCATGTATTTTACATCATTATAAAGGAAATTGAAAGACCTTTAAAATAAGGTATCACTCGACCCCCCTTTCCATTTAAGATTTTGGAGGTGGTGTCACCCCCGCCTAGGGGGCTGCACGTGCCAACGTGATTTTTTGACAAACTTGTGTCCCCCTCGTAAACAAAATCGACGGATCTGAGCGGTTTTCAAAAAAAAAACTGAGCTGCCAGTAAATGCGTCTGTTTCGTTTTCGATGCGCCACCCTGTATATTTTTTTCCTTTATTACCTTCTTTCCTTTTCCCCTTGAACTTGTTTGGTATCAGGCTAAACAGATCTGACATACAAACGGACCGACATGACTTTTAACTAAGAGCAAAGGTCCACCTGACCTCTGTGATAAATAACGACGAATATTATTATAGCTAGCTTGACATGTTCAAAAAATAGGTGGAATACGAGATACGCAACAAAGTAAGTTCGAAGAAAAGTCTTTAACATGTCGGGTTTTTCCGGCAAAGCGGCAACGCCGCCTGACAGCTTACCGCCGCTTTCCCGAATCGACTGCTCGTGAAAGGGGACGGAAACCCCCGACGCTGCCGTCAATTATCTCGTGGGACATGGAAAAACAGTTGCCCTCGAGTGATGTCCAGGCACGGGCGATGTACCTGCACCAATGAGCGGGCCACTTTTCACAGGCACCGTCAAGAAGGCCAAGATTGCCTATGCCAGGGGCATTGACCAGCAAGTTAACTCCGGTAAGCTTTTGGCCCTATTTCTTTTGTTAAAAGTTCCCGGGGTGAGACACGCTTTCCAATAGCTACATCGAACTTTGAGGTTAAGAGAAGTTCTTGCTGTGATCTTTAAACAGTTGTATAGCGATTTTGTCGGACCTTCAGGTCATAGACATGAACAAATGGTTTATAATCAGTTGTTAGACAGGGAAAAAATAGTTTTAGCACGATACAGCATGCTTTGTCAGGAAGCAAAGCTTTCAGTATCAAAGTTTGTTACATCTGTAAAGGTGACTTTTATCGGAAGCTTTTTATCTATCTAATATGGCAAGCAACATGAAAAGTAGGGGAGAACGGGGCTACTTGTCACAATGTTCAGTAATTCTTTTTTTTATTCGATCTGAAGCGTTATATGCACATATTTGGTGCATAACTAATATGGTTTAAAAATGTTTCAAAATTCAGAAACAAATGTAACAACTTGCCCCTTGTTGGGGCTTGATGTCACATTGCTTGGGGTTGGTTGTCACGTGTATTTTAGATCATGAATAATTTATATTATACTTTTAAACATATTTATTATTACAAATAAGACATAAAGATTTGGTATTTAGATGAGAAAAAAGTAGAAGAGTTTTTTTCACAATTAGTCACTATCGCAGTTATGACATATGTAAAGTTCGTGTCCATCAGTGCACGCAGCATGAGACCAACCAATACACGATGAGCATTTCACCCGTCCTTCATTTGACGCGCTTTTAGAAAATGGTTGAGGACAAATCAAGCAAAAACATTCTTCTCCATCAGTTTCATTATCTGAACAGGACTTTTTCTGAATCAAAACGTCCCTTTTCACTGTTTCCCTGTTCCTCTTTTTCTTGTTCGAGCATTTATTTTTCTCTTTCACTAATTCGTCTTTCACTGGAGTGTCAGTGAGTATTGCAGTCGTTTACGACGGGAAACTCGATTCATTTTTCTTGCCAATGCCTTTGGATAAGGTCTTAAACTTTCTGGAAATACTGTATTTCCCGCATGCAGCCTTACTAAACTACTACAGCAGGGATCATCAAAACTAGTTTGATTAGATGTTTTGCCCTCTCGTTATCTATTGCTTCCTGCGTGTTAATATTTATCAGACTTACAGTTTCATCTTCGTTCAAGATGGTTGGATTTGGTCCAAATTCCTTCTCGTTTAAGGTTTCCGGGTTTGGTCCAGTTATTGCTTCGTTCAAGATACCCGGATCTGGCCTATCAGTGACAGAGCTCGCAAGAAAGTCATCATCCGTGAAAATATCTCTGTTGTAAGGAAACACACCCGGCACCCGAAATCCAGACTGTATATTTTTCGGAGTAAATGCGAGGGGGTATGCAATAGAGACCACTGAAGGTATGTCGTATATAGTCATTGTCTTACCGGGATTATTTAAAACCCAAGCATCGCAGGAAGTATTTACATATTTCTTAAAAGGGCCGAAAACGGCGCGGTTAAGAGGTTGAAGTTTATGTGAACAGTGAGGGTAAAAAGAGAGCATGACAATTTGCTTTGGCAAAATTCAGTCCTCAGATGTGATCCATGGTAAACTAGTAAAAGCAGGCACGGTATTTCAACAGTACTTTTCACATGAAGGTGAACAAATCTAAAAAACTCCAAGAAATGTGACTCTTTCATCCAACCTGATGGATTTGCTGAACCTTGTGAACCAGGAGGAGCCGAATTTGAAAAATGTGGTTTGAAATGTACCCGTGGAAAAATAAAAAAAGGAGGTATGAAATTGCCAATAGTTGATGCTGCACTTGCTAAAGTAACAAGAGTTCCTCTTTCTGATGAAACTATAGAACCAACCTGTTTGAATCCTCTTCTGGCAACAACGCGGTCGGGTCTTTGGACAGTTGTAATCCCAGGTTCGTCATGTTCCAGATTTCGTGAGGCTCAAATTTATATTTTTCCATAACTGAAGCTCAATTATCAAAAAATACGTTGACGTCCGTTTTATTGAAACTACTGGCTCTTGCTAAACTAGTTGCTTCCAGTTTGCTAATAGACAGTACAGGATGACGTTTCAGAAACGCACTAAACCAGTCAGGTCCAGCCATTTTATGGAGCTTCCAATTTTCCGGCATTTTCAAGGAAATAGCATTAGCAAATTCATATGCAAGTCCACGTACTTCCTTGGGTGATAATCCAAAATAAATATCAGATGATTTGAGTACATATTCCACTAGATGATTTTCAAGTTCAGGCTCAAATACTAAATGATTTTTGATGGAGCCAACTGAAATTCACGACGCAACAACTCGATCATCAAGTAATTCAGACTCTGGAATTCTCTTACAGTATCTTGCTAAAGTACGGTAATTTACATTGAAGTCAGCTGCCGCTTTTCTTATTGAGGATCCTAATCTCACTAACCTAGCAGCTCTTAACAGTACGTCAGGCGGCGCTTTGCCCTTCTCAGTCTTCCTTTTGAAATTTCGAACCATGCTTATGTAACCTGAAAATATTAAAAAAATACATTGTATACATATAGGTACGTAGAATGATGTGCAAAGCTAATCGTCTAGTGCGGGGGCTGGTTGTCACATGTGACAAGAGGCCCCCGCTAATTTGAGACAACCTGCCCCACTAGATAATTATTTTTTAAGGTTAGATAGCGTCACTAAATGAACAAATTCAAAGTCAATACTAACGTTAAGTCATATTCGGATTATTGAAGAGCAAAATAAATTCAACAGTTCTTTTTATTATCAAATGTAGTCTTGAAAACACAAATTATGTGGCAAACGAAAAATTTACTCAGGTTAGACGATTTGTTTATTTTTGTGCGTGCGACCTTAATCTACCAACGACAACTTTCGTACTGAATACAATTGTTCTGCGCGGACGCATAAACGATAAACTACATCTGGCGGAGTTGCTGAGATTTAACAATTGTGACAACCAACCCATGTGACAACCAGCTCCGGTCTCCCCTACCTATGTATATGCGAAATTTTTGCAAGTTTGAAATCTAAGTATCACAGAGAAGCAACCTAAAGCTTAGCTCTGTTCTCATAAAAAGGTTAATTCAATGGGATTTGCCTACCAAAAAAGTATTTCAGTAAAAATACGTACACATCGACAATTTTCGACATTTTTTTTGTAATAACATATTAACGGTTACCTCAAGTTGACCCCCTAAGGTCTCATTTTGAAGGTATTTTGTTCGTTTGTTGAAGATTTATTAAGCAATAATGCTACAATGTCAATTTTGTATAATTATTCCTTTACACATTTTTTGAATCCGTCTTCTGTAATTTTTCATTCTTGTCTATTAAAATTACATCACTATGCATTTTGAGGATTCATAAAGTGATTTTTTAATTTCACCTTAAACATTTTTAAATACGAGCACTGTTTATCGTTATTCATTTTTTCAAATTCAAATATTCACGTTTGAAATAAAGATTTAGTCGATACTGTCTCTAGTTTTATAGTTATGTTATTGACTATTTGATGTTGTGAAGTTTTCTGAATGTGGCGGTAATAAATGATTTTTCAATTTGAATATGAAAATGAGAACTAAATAACATAATTTTTTTATATTCAACCACTATAGTTCTTCTATATAGTTCTTCTAACATATACTTAATCCTAGAATATTTATTTTTTATTTAAAATGATTCTCCTAGCTTTATTTTGTAGAACTTATAATTTTGAAAATGTGTTTTCGTTGTAAAGATGGTTGACCAATATAAAAGAAGTGGAAGAATTATAGTATTATACACAACCCTATAGAAGTAATTTATCCGTTTCACTCCCCTGTGGCACCCCACCACCAATTTCATGAACAATTTTCCCTATCTATAGTCTCAAATGCCCTTTTCAAGTCTAAAAATCTATACTTCTTCTCCAGTCTTTCACCACCACTTGGATTGCTGTTTCTGTAGAATATTTTTTTCTAATTCCAGTTTGATATATTGTCACAATTTTGTTTTCTTCAATGAATTCAACGGTTTCTTCGTATATCATCCCTTCGAACAGCTTCTCGACCTCTGCCAAGACATTAATCGGTCACATATTTGTATATACGAGCCCCTTCCCACTTCAGTTGGCCCACATCAAGATTTGTACCAAAATATGCCTTTATAAACTGAACATGACCAGACTATTTTTACTTCTAAAACAATTTATTTTCTCAAAAACATTTTAGATACACTCTCGTAAAAAATACATATTTGAAATCACTTAGACCTATAACTAATAGAACATCTGAACAAATAAACAATGTGCGAATAAATGCGCGAAGTTAACAAAGCAACAATTGAAAGATTACCATTGGGTAACATCACCTTTATTTTTTTTTATAAGGCTGAAATTCTTTGGAGCATAGTGTTAACCAAGTTTTGGCAATAATTTGGTGTAAAACAATCCCATATTTCTTGAAGCTTTTGTCTCAGTTCGGTGATTGTACGAGCAGGATGTTGTCGTAGAACCTTTTTCATCTCGTGCCACAAAGTTTCAATAGGTGACAGATCTGGACTGCTAGAAACCCATTTCAAAAGTGGTACATTATTTTCTTCCATCCATTTTATAGCCTTTTTTGAGGTATGGCACGCTGTACCATCTTGCTGAAACACAAAATCTTGGCCGGATATCAAACATTCTTCCATCACTGGTAAAAGCGATTCTTCTAAAATTGTCAAATATTTGTTTGTATCCACATGTCCATCAATAAAATGAAGTTTTCCTACTCCTTTTGATGACATACTGCCCCAGACCGTAATGGATTCTGGATATTTCACTTTTCTCTTCAGACATTCAACATGGAATGCTTCATTTTTTTGCGAATAACTCTACTGCGACTGTCACCATCAATCCATTGTATCGCACACCATTGTTGAAGAATGCATTGTCTATGTTCCTTAGCCCATCTAAGCCGATTTTTCTTTTACAGTGGAGATAATAGTGGCTTTTCTTTGTCCTATGAACAAGTTGTGCAACTTTAGGGTTTTTACTTCACTTTTTTTATAAGAAAACTTACCTTGCAAGTGCTAAATCCCAGTTTGTGAGCCTCTCTATGAGTTGTGGACCACGAAATTCTCCTTCCAACAGCGTCACTCCACAGAGCACTTAATTGTAAATAATTGGCACGCCTGTTTTTCACGATTATTCTTCTTAATGCTCTTCGGTCGGCATTTGTGATATTAGTTTTTTTCACATATCGTGGCTTAATGTTAACTGAACCAGTTACGTTATATCTTCTAACAATATTTCTCACACTGTACCGCGATAAGTTTAACAAAGTTGCAATTTCTGAATTTGATTTCCCAGAATTAAAAAATTTTGTTATCAGTAACCGAATTTTCTCACTAATAACCTTTCCTCTACCCATTTTGAGAACCTTAACTACCCAAAACTATTTTAAACGTATTGTGACAGCTGTGATTAATAAAAACAATTGTCATGGCTTTTATTTTTCACAGCCACCTATGCGTTATAGACTTATTTTGCATTGAAATGAAAATAGGTTGATATGCTGTAATTGCAACATGTGTTATTTTTATGCTGCAAATTTGATTAACACCCAGTTTAAATGGTTTTATTTAAATAAAATTTTGTATAAGTACTTAATGAAGCATAATAAGTAAATGATAAAAATTTCAAAATGATTGCACTGCTTTAAAGCCCTTTGACCTTTAATAATGTGTGGATGCACCCTGATGTGCTACGCATTCTCCAACGCGCCTAGGCATGCTTCTGATCAGGTGGTCAATGTCCTCCTATGGTATCTCATTCCAGGCAACCACCAACTCCTCTCGAAGTGCTTCTAGAGTCTGAGGAGGACGTTGCAAATTGAGCAATCTCCTACCCATCATATCCCACACGTGCTCAATTGGGGATAAGTCAGGAAATCTTGGTGGCCATGGTAACAATGTGACATCATTATGTTGAAAGAAGTCTATTGTGACTCTTACAACATGTGGTCGGGCATTATCTTGTTGGAAAGTTGGATCTGCCAGGGTGTCAAGATAGGGTAAAAGATGGGGTTCTAGAACTTCATGGATATAACGCTGCGCGTTCATGTTACCTCTGATGAAGATTAAAGGTGACCTGGAACCATAAGCTATAGCACCCCAAACCATAACTCCAACAGTGTGATGAACATGTCTTTCAACAAAAAACTGTGGATTCCTCCTTTCACCACGTCGCCTTCTAACCCTGGCACGACCATCGTGCATGCCTAAACAAAATCGAGACTCGTCACTAAAGACAATACTGTTCCATTCGTGATCCCAGAGTGACCGTTGTCTGCACCACTCAAGGCGATTACGTCGGTGTTCTCGAGTTAAAGGGAGGACCCAGTGTAGCCGGTATGAAAACAAGCCAAAACTTCTCATTCGTCGGTAAACACTTCGCATGCCAATAGGTCTTCCGTGTTCTGCAAACCATTCATTTGCAATGGACCTGGTAGTGGAGAAACGGTCCCATAAGGCCAATAATCTTACGCGGCGATCTTCACGGTCTGTTGTTCTACGGCGGCGTCCTGTGCCCCTTGCTCTTTGCGTACAGCCTTCTCGAAGCCATGCCTGACAACACCTAACCACAGTGTCTACACTTCTTTGCACTCTAACTGCAATTGCCCGAAAAGAAAGTCCAGCTTCCCGAAGTCCCACTATACGCTCCTATCAAACTCACTAAGTTGACGAAATCGTACAGGTCTCCGTACTCTAGGCATCGTAACCGATCGTAAAGGATGTCAAGAACCAAAATCCGCCAACGTTGATTCTTTACTGCGGCTGAAATATTCATTTTTAGAGCGTTAGTGAATTAAAAAAAAGCAGTATAAAAACCGGAATGTCCAACTGATAAGGCTGAAAATTTTTTCACTTGTTATTTACAGTAAGATAAATACATTCACCAACTTTTATTAAAATAAAACCAGTTAAACTGGGTGTTCGGATTTATATGTCACTTAGTATATTATCAAATTATTCATTGTTAATATTTTAAACCTATAACTCCCTGCTACATTTTTATTATTTGTGTTTGATAAGAAAAAAACTAAGATTTCAATAGTTCCAACTGAAGTGGGAAGGGGCTCGTAGCTCAAAATGTTGAACTTTTGACACGGTAGTAATGGTAGAACACTTTATTTGGATCACTTACGCCAGTAATTTATTACTATTAGAATGTACACGAAAATGTTATTTATCCCACTTGAACATTTTAAAAAATAGCCAGCAACTTTTTTAGTATCTCTCGATAAGGAGCCGAGTCATATACTCTCAAGAATATAATTTCGCTGCAAAACGGCTTTTTACAATCGTTTCTGAAACAGGATCGATTTGTGGCTAGTCAGAAGTTTTCGTATAATAATAATAATAGTAATAATAATAATAGCACCTAAGAATTTCTTTATCAAGAGATGAACAAGGAAGTGGACTTCTAACAGGTTTCGACAAAAAAATAATATCTTTATTGATTTTATGTCTTCATTGATTTTATATTCAGCGATTTGAGAGTTACTACTGTAGAAGTCGTTGTACATTTGAGAATCATCATCAAAACACTATATTAGATAATAATGGTCCGAGCATAGAACCATGGGGTACTCCTGATTAAAACCATTCATAATATTAATATAAGAAACGGGAAAAACGTAAAATTGACATTTAGCAATAGTACACGTAGTAAAATCAAGAAATGCTAGTGATGTTGTTATGTGCTGATCCAGCGTTCTATCAATACTGCCTTTCAACTTCAACAATGCATCTGCACTATTGTAGCCCTTTCGGAAACCTCATTGTACTGATGGTAATGAAATCCATGTGAGCGACACGTAGATATTCTAGGTTGCCTCTATAAATAGGCATTAGCATCCTAGACCGCTGAAAACTCACGTACATTTCCAAACTTTCCTTCCCGATCCTGAGTTCAACTTTAAAGGATGCTAGTCCGCAGCTTCAAAATTACAAACTTTGTCATATCTATGTATGAGCGTCACCAATTATTGCAAGCACGTACGCTACTGATTACATTATACAGGGTGTAAAGTTAGTAGTGGTGCAACGGAAGCCAGGGGATACAGGTCTTCAAAACCTATCGAATGAACCATATAGATGTGTGGCCAGAAATTTTATAGTCCAGGACATATTTGCAATTCTGTGAAATTTCGAAAAAATCGCAATTACAACTAAACCATTAGGTTTGGGACTACCATTTTTTTTCTGAGTTGAGCTAAATGGTTAATCTTAGCAACGGTTATGTCACTTTTTAACGGAGCTTATTAGAAATCAATGCAAAAAATCGTTAATTCATTTTTTTGTGAAAAATCTCTTCAATCCCTCAACTTTGGAAGGAGGTAAAAAAAATGAGGTTGTATTTCATTATTTATTTTTTTGTAAAAACTATTTCAATCCATGTAGGATAAACCCTAAAAATTTCAGCTTGCTACGATGAGTGTATCATGTCACGCGATAAACGTAAGGAATGCAAAGGATCCTTACCACCTACAAGTACAGAACATATTGTGTTTAGCCGCTCTTTATGACGATTTACCGAAAAATGTGATAGATAAATTAATTTAACTAAAATTTAAAGAACATGTTCGAAATGGCTTCCATTATTTTCTATACACAAGCGACACCTTCTAATAAAATTGTTCTTTAGTCTTTGGAATGAATTTGCACTACTCCAGCCCATGCTATAAATGTACAGGATTTAACCACACAGCTATATACTGCACAAAATCAGGAAGATGTATTACTTGTGGATTAGAAGGACATTCAACAGAAAACTGTAGTACCAGTGAAATGTACAAATGCTGTCCAAATTGTAAAAGTGTAAACCAGGAATTTAATCTAGGATTACCTATTAATCATGGACCATTTGACAAAAATTGTGAAGTATATAAAAAGAAAATTGAGCGTGAGAGGTTAAAGTTAATTATGCAAATGAATAGCAACTACTAAGCCCAAATTTGCAAGATGTGGCTAAATCTGTAAGTGATGAATTTAACTCAATATACCATTTAAACATACAAGGAGTCCTGAATAATATAGACTAGATGAAGTTCAACAGTTTTTAAGATGGAGAAAACCACTTGTATTATGTCTTACCGAAACACATGCTACAGAAGACATCACTGATGGTGAATTACAAATTACTAATTATAAAACCTACAGATGCAACTCCAACTCCAGACATACTGGAGGTGTAGTGATTTATGTTTACCACAAAATACAGATCAAATTATTCGATTGTACCATTTTAGACTATGCATACTGGTATGCACATATACAGTTCAAATTATTTGGGAAACGTTATGATCTTTGTACTTTTTACCGTTCACCAAACAGTGATGCGGATACATTTTTAACGTTTCTTGAAGAAAAATGCGAAGAAATGTAGAATTTTAGAAACAATATAATACTTTTAGGTGATTTTAATTTAAATTATTATGGTAAAAGCATGAAAACAAGAAAATTGAAAGCAACCATAAA